CCCTATGGGCAAGCCTTCCCCAATGACTCCCTATGGGCAAGCCTTCCCAATGGTTCCCTATGGACAAACATTCCCCAATGACTCCCTATGGGCAAGCCTTCCCCAATGGTTCCCTATGGGCAAGCCTCCCCCAATGGTTCCCTATGGGCAAGCCTCCCCCAATGGTTCCCTGTGGGCAAGCCTTCCCCAATGACTCCCTATGGGCAAATACTGTCATTTGTTTTGATGCAGCCTCTCTCTCTCCTCTTTTCTGAAACTCAAGGAGTTAAATGCACAGAGTCTGTCACTCCTAGAGAAGAAGCACCAGAAAAACCTCCCTGTGAGATCACTTTCCTGTCCCACCCTCCCCTTCCTTTTCTATGGGGAAGCCTCCTTTTCTTGCATTGCATTAAATCTCCCCCTTTTCTTCTTCCAGGAAACGATTGCAATTGCAAAGTGGACTGCAAAATTGCAAAGCAACGAAATAACTGGGAGGTGAGTCAAGACAGAGCAAGGAATGATGGGATCAAGAGTCCAAAGAAAAGGACTCAGGCTGCGTCCAGACTGCAGCAATAACCCAGTTTGACACCGCTTTAACTGCCATGGCTCCAACCCTTGGTGGACCCCTGGGAATTTGTAGTTTGCTGTGGCACCAGAGCTCTCTTGACAGGGAAGGCTCAATGTCTCCCAAAACTACAGATCCTCCAGGATTCTCTAGCATTGAACCAGGATAGCTGAAGTGGTATTAAACTGGATTATTGCTGCAGTGTGGATGCAGCCTGCTGCATCTGATAGAGAAGGCTACAGATATGAGAAATCCATAACATTGAACCATTGGAGCTAAAGCAGTCTCAAACTGGATTATTGCTGCAGTGTGGATGCAACCTTAGCTGAAAAGGTCTGTGGGCCTTGTGAATGCTTATTTAACAATGGTCCAAAAACACACTGCAGAAATGATCCAGTTTGAGACCGCTTCAACTATGGGATTTGTAGTTTTGTGAGACACTGAGACTTCTCTGTCAGGGAGCTCTGGTGCTACAATAACCTACAGTTCCCAGGATTCCCTAGTACTGAGCCAGGGCGGTTAAAGTGGTCTCAAACTGGATTATTTCTGCAGTATGTTTTGGAACAATAATGGTGATTTTTTTTAATGTAACTCTTCAATTGCATTGTGTTTACTGCAATGATACAATTTAAACATATGGTGGAATAATGAAACCATCTAAATTAAAATGATTGTACAGCAAAAAAAAATATTGAAAAGTAAAAGTACTAAGTAGACTTGTATTCAAATAGTGGGCATTTCCTTATCCATTTCTGATGTTCCCTTGATTTTTTAAATTTTTTTTAAGAGATGGGATCCCTCACAATAGAGAGCCAGTATGGTGTAGTGGTTTGAGCACTGGATTATGACTCCAGAGACCATGGTTTGAATCCTGGCTCATCCACGGAAACCCACTGGGTGACCTTGGGCAGGTCATACTCTCTCAGCTTCAGGTCAAGGGAATGGCAAACCCCAGGATACCATAGCATAGCAGCGGGTTTCATGGCTGAGCTAGGAATCGAACCCTGGCATCTGACTGACATCT